GGGCAGACAACCAGGTCACTGGTAGAGAGAGAGCGTGAGCCTGTGGTTCTGCTTTTATTGGGGTTCAGAGTGGGGGCCTAGGGTTTTATGGACTCACTCTTTATTGATGAACTTAAAAATATAAGAACTGGAGCACCAGTCCCTACACCAAAAAGTTTTGGGTTTGATCCCCAGTCGGGGCATGTATGGGAGGCAATGGATCAATGTTTCTCTCTCTCTCTCTCTCCCTCTCTCCCTCTCTCTCTCTCTCTCTCTCACGTCAATAGAAAAAAACATATCTTTGGGTGAGGAATAAAGATAATTAATTAATTAAAATATAAGTGTAAAAATGTAAAGTGTAGGAGGAGAAAAAAAAGAAAGTGGCCCAAATGGTTAGTTATTAAATCAACCAAGATCTTTTAACAAAAGTGTCTCAGTATGGGAGGTGACCTAGACCTTTATCTAGTGTGTGGCTAGTACTGTATTAATTTGAGATAGCTGGCTTTGAAGTGGCAATCAAAGCTTAACTCAGACACTTTGATTACAAAAAAGAAAAGCCAGCTAGGCTTTTCCAGTCAAGATGGCAATGTAGGCAGACAAGGCTCAGCTCGTTACACAACCACATCAAAATTATAACTAAAATATAGAACAACCATCACTCAGAACCATCTGAAGTCCAGTCGAACGAAAGTCTAACAACTATGGGATTTAAAAAAACACATCCATCCAGGCTGTCAGGAGGGGTGCAGACACGGAACAGGCTGGTATCTTGCCCACATAGGGTGGATAAAAATTCAGGAGGGATATCTCAGAAGCAAGGAGTCCCAGCCTTACACCAGGTCCTCAGCCCAGGGTTCCAGTGCCAGGAAGATAAGTCCTCACAACTTATGGCTGCAAAAACTAGCAAAGATTCAGTCATTGGAAGAAACTTCTGGATCCCCAAGCAGTTCGTCTTAAAGAACCCACAGACAGACTCACCTTCTCAGACTCACCCTCTCTGAGCTCCAGCACTGGGGTAGCAGCTCAGATATGGCACCAGTGGTATACAGGGAGGAACTGAAGTGCCTAGCATCAAAGCAAGCAGAGGTCATTGTCCCTTTTCTAAACCCTCCTTCCACAGAGCGGGCAAGCTGGTGCCACATCTGAGACTCCATCAACCTGGCTAACACCATTTGACCTGCCTTGGAGATCCCCAGAGACTCTGTGCAACCCAACTATGGGTCCACCCAAGCTGCTTTTCCATATGAATGGCTGGTCTTGGCTCATGCTTCACAACTTCCTAAGTCCTATCAAACAAGCAACAGCTGACCTCAGTAAGCCCCAGGCCCAGCACTAGCAGCAGCCAGACTAGATTCACAGCTTAGCTTTGCCCAGGATTCTCCAAACCCAGAATGGGTAGCAGCCATGTCATATTGTTTTATACTTTAGGCAGGGTGGCCCCGGGCAAAACATAAGTAGGGGCTGACCTTGGCCTGTACCACCTGGGAAACTCCAAAGCCTGCACACCCAGTGGACAGCTATAGACCATGTCAGAGCACCACGCCCCTGCCCCTGCATAGCTGATCCTCCACAGAGTGCAGAGGTTGGTGATAAGTGGTCACAGCTAGTCCTTGCAGCTGACTGGTCTGGGTAAATCCCTCCCATTAATCTGCCAACAAGGCTCAACTATAAGAGGAGGGTGTACTCAGCCCACACAAAGGATGCACCTTTAGTACCCAGTTTGGGTGATAGAGGAGGCTGTGCCATTGGACCCTACAGGACACTTTCTACATTAGGCCACACTACTAAGACATGACGTCAAAGCAGCTCTACCTATTTCCTAGAAACAAATACAGAGAGGCTGCCAAAACGAGGCGACAAAGAAACATGGCCCAAATGAAAGGACAGACCAAAACTCCAGAAAAAGAGCTAAACAAAATGGAGATAAGCAATCTATCAGATCCAGAGTTCAAAACACTGGTTATAAGGATGCTCAAGGAACTGAGTAAGGACCTCAACAGCATAAAAAAGGCCCAGTCAGAAATGAAGGATACACTAGTTGAAATAAAGAACAATTTACAGGGAATCAACAGGAGAATGGATGAAGCCAAGAATCAAATCACTGATTCAGAACATAAGGAAGCAAAAAACCACCACACAGAACAAGAAGAAAAAAGAATACAAAAAAGTGAGGAAAGTAGAAGCAGCCTCTGGGACAACTTCAAGAGGTCCAACATTCACATCAGAGGGGCGCCTGAAGGAGAAAAGAAAGAGCAAGATTTTTGGAAACCTATTTGAAAAAAAATAATGAAAGACAATGTCCCTAATTTGGTGAAGGAAATAGACATGCAAGTCCAGGAAGCACAGAGTCCAAAACAAGATGGACACAAAGAGGCCCACTCCAAGGCACATCATAATAAAATGTCAAAGATTAAAAATAAATCTTAATCTTTATCTTTAGATTAAAGAGTCTTAAAAGCAGCAAGAGAAAAGAAGTTAATTGCCTACAGAGGATTTCCTACAAGACTGTCAGCTGATTTCTCAAAAGGAACTCTGCAGGCTAGAAGGGATTGGCTAGAAATATTCAAAGTCATGAAAAGCAGGGCCTCACAGCCAAAGTTGCTCTACCCAGCAAAGCTATCATTTAGAATGGAAGGGCATATAAAGAGCTTCCCAGACAAGAAAAAACTAAAGGAGTTCATCATCACCTTCAATAATTTCATTATTACATGAAATGTTAAAGGGGCTTATTTAAGAAAAAGATCAAAACTGAATAAAATGGCAATACATACATATCTAGCAACAATTGAATCTAAAAAACAAACTAAGCAAACAAGAACAGAGACAGAATCATGGATACAGAGAGCATTTTGATGGTTGCCAGATGAAGAGGCAATGTGGGGGAATGGGTGAAGAGGTGAGGGGATTAAGAAGTACAGATAGGTAGTCACAGAATAGCCATGGGATGTAAAATACAGAATAGGAAATGGAGTAGCCAAAGAACTTATATGCATGACCCATGGACATAAACAATAGTGGGGGGATTGTCTGGGGGAGTGGGGGGTGCTGGGTGGAGGGGGGCAAAGAGGGAAAAATCAGGACAACTATAATAGCATAATCAATAAAATATAAATTAGAAAAAGAAGAAGAAAAGCCAACCATCAGGGCTCACGCTACCATTCCTCAGTGTTTGTGGTGATGCTGGTGTAAACAAACTCACTGCACTCCGTGTAAGATAAAAGCAGAGCATGCACAATTACAGTAGCAAACTGGACAACCCAGGTTCATGTAAAAGCACTACAATGTTCAAACAATGATGAAATTACCTATCGACCTGTTTCTCAGAATGTATCCCTGAAGTTAAGCAGTACATGAATATATAAGCTTATATAGCATGGAAATTTCCAGAAAAACCCACAGAAACTGCAATCAGTAGTTCACTCTGGGAAAGAGAAACGTTTACTTTTCACCTTTGAACTGCTTGTACAGGGTATGGCTTTTATATATTTTTAGTGACAGAGATTTCAGTTTCTGTTGTTAACAGTGAATGAAATGATGTATGAGTGAGCTGTGATGGATGTACAGGACGAGATGGGCTGATAATATTTTCTAAGTAAGGCAGAGCCCTTCCACGTGGCTGTAGAAGAGAGGGAGACCCCAGCCCCACAGGGATGGCCACTGAGGCAATCTACCTTAGGCAGGCGGGTGGAAGATGACAGGCAGCCTGGGATGGCAGAGGACATGCCCTTAAGAGAAAGGGGACCTGCGAGTGTCCGCTGATGGGTTTGCTCATGCCAGAGGAAGCCCGCACTCATCCAGGGCCTGTAACATGGTGCTTGGCATGCAGTACTGTTCCATTCTAAGCACTTCACTCATATCAATTCATTAAACCGTCACAGCAACACAACAGAGTGTTATTCCCCCACTTCACAGATGATGAAACAGAGGAAGAAGTGAATGAATGAAGGAGTGAATGAATGAGTGAATGAATGAATGAATGAAGCTGCCCAAGGGTAGGTATATCTCTAAGGTGACACAGTGGGAAGAAAAGGATATATATTCCGGAGGTTTTTTGTTTTTCTTCTTGTTGTTGATTGCAACAAAGGCAATCAAACTGGTGGGTCTGTCAGAGACCTGGATGAAAGCTGTAGACCAATTGTACGTGTAATCAATGGGATTCTTGGGTTCTCGGGAGCCCACAAGTGGACTCAGGGTTCAGAACCCCTGTTCTGTGGGATTTTTCAAATCTAAGGTCCTAGGATCCTATGTTAAGTTACGATATTCCTTGTCCCCTTGAAGCGTATAAGTTTAATCCTGTCACCAAAACAAAGTACAAACTTCTGCAACCCTGTAGTCTCCATTTCATGGACAAAATGTATCTGTGGAATAAAATACCATGAAGTCCAAAATAAGTTTGTTTGTTATCTGGCATGTACAAATATTACAAATTGTGTAATGAGGAGGACGATCTAATTTACTGTCCAAATGTGGACAGTTTTGTGCATGAAAGGAGTGCCACAACCTGGGAGTATCTAAGCCACACGGGACAGCTTAGTTGGGACAGAACAAATTTGTATCAAATGTCTTGTGGACCATGGGGACTGGCTGCTTTTCCAGGAGTCCTCGGCAGAGAGGTCAGCTGCCCACCAGCCCCATCCACCTTGCAGCCTTGACTAATTCCCATCCCTGCACCAGTGAACCTGCTGTTCCTGTACCTACACACAGCGTGGCTTTGTGCCCGGTCTGGAGCAGCCCAAGGCCAGGGAGCTGCTCTGTTCGCAACTAGAGGTCAACGCCAAGAGCAGAGACTTCGGCCTCCCCTGTGCGTCCTCACCAGCGCCCCATGGACTCCCCTGCCTCTCTGGCTCTCTCGCCTGGCTGTTTACCAGATCAAAGCACAGTGACTCCAGGGACCTGGCCATGGTGAAGGCCACTTGTGGCCTCCACCCACCTCTAAACAAACCAAGGATCATCCTAGAAGCCTGGCGGGCATAGGTTAAAATTTAACTATCAGGGCTCATGGTTTGGATGAGTTTCTATAATACCAGGTGGTTCCAATTGATTCCACTAAGGTCCCAATCAATGTGAGGATAGTAGGAAGAGTCACCGTCTCTTTACTGGGCTCTGTGGGAACAGACCCAAGATGCTAAGGACCCCGATGTTGGGCAGGAACCTCCTGAAGTCCTCAGGTTTCTCCGTCTTGGTCAAGCAGGTGTTGGGGACTCGACGACGTCATCCACTAAAGCCTGAGAGATCATGCTCCCAGGTTTCCTGTGCACAGAAAAACAGGAATAATGCTCGTAAGTAGAATTTCTTAGAATTCCTGAATTTCCCCAAATGCAGTTCGATGTCTAATTTTATGGTGTCTTTCAAAATGGAAGACAATCTGGAGCCAAAATGGTTGAGTTCAGATGTCCGCTCCTTTTTCCTGTGGGGGACCTTGGGCAAGTCCTTTAACCTCAGACTCACAGGGTAGTTGGGAGGACAAGAGGCGTGGAACAAGACGGGTACCCAGTGCCCCCTCCCCCAAGTTAAGCTGTTATTATGAAACATTCAGCCCAGAAGGACCAAGCGTGCCTTCTTTGGAGTTATTAGAGCTCCAAAACCCCTCCAAGCAGAGAATATTCTCAGCAAACATGCAGTAAGTAGACCACCAACCAGCTCTGTGCAGAGGCTGCCCACGCCGGCCTCATTCTGACATTGGGGTAGTTAATGCTCTGTGAACTTGGACTTACCCTTTCCTTTTCCTGGGTCTCAGATCCTTCCTCTGTCAAACAAAGGGTCTGAGTTGAAGGCTGATAGGTTGGCTTCTGTGGTAAATACCATATTTTGCTGTGTATAATGTGCACTTTTTTGCCCAAATTTTTGAGGGAAAAATGAGGATGTGCATTATACATGGATAGTACCTGAAATACCTTGTATCTGTTCTTATGTTTTGTGATTATTTGTTGCATAAAATTTCTTGTAATATGTTCAAAAATAAATGCTACAATTCCTTTGTAATACAAAAAAAGTATCTAAATATAAATAAATAATTGAATTAAAAATTAAAATAAAAGATTTTTTTTCCCCTGAAAGTGTGGACCAAAAACATGGGAGCGCACTGTACACGGCAGAACACAGCACTGCACACTCTCCAGGACTGGAGAGCTGAAAGGCCGCGGGCTTCAGAGCCCGTCGCTCCTGGGGGAGGACATTAGTTACACTTGTCTGCCGTGAGAGCTGGACATTGCCTCCTCTCCATGAATCTCCACTTTCTCATCTATAAAATGGAATGACAGTCGCACAGGGCCACATAAAAATGAAATCATGCCCCTGGGAAGCCTTGGTACAACCCAGGCTCTCAGTGAGCATTATTAGCTCTATTCAGTTAACCTGCTGGTCCACACCTGCGGACAATGCTGAACTCTGTCTCGGAAACGCAGGGCAATTTACAGGAGCACATGAGGTTCCCCTGGGGTTCCTGTTAGGCCAGAACTCAGGCCTGTGAAGGTGAGGGTGAGCAGCCTGGGGTAAGCGCAGGCTCAGGCTTAAGAGGACTGCAGTGTTCAGGAGCTGCAGAGGGTCTCCGAGAGCAGGAAACCCAAGGACGTGGCAGAGATGGAAACCAAAGTCACCAGATGTGCAGCAGACCCCCTACCCAGAAAGGGCAGGCAGGCATGGAAGTCTTGTCTCAGCCCTAACTCTGGTCCTTTCAGTTACCCCACACTCAGAGTGGGGTCCCGAGACTAGCAGCCACAGCACGACCTGGGAGCTTGCTAGGAATGAGGAACTTCAGCCCCGACCCCAGACCTAACTATAAATTTCAAACCAAACAGACGCTCTGCACTCACATGGAAAGACCCTCCCACCTGTCCCCCTCCAACCCCGGTCCCCAGAGGCAACTACTACAAGTGATTTGCTGTGCAGCCTTCTGACACTTGCCCCATGGAAACCTGTCCCCACATACACATGCCTTCAAAAAAATTAAAAAAGGTACCACACGGTACACACTTATCTGCCCCTCGGTTTTCTTTCTTTACCTAACTGTAGACATCTCCACAATTGTCTCTCAGCAACTATCCCCTCTTAGTGCTTAGTACAACCATGAAGAGCATCGGGCCACTTGGATGGAATCTTGGCCCCAACACTTTACAGCTGTGTGCCCCTCGGCAAGTTTCTTAACCTCACAGAGCCTCAGTTTCCTCACCTGCAAAAGGTGAGTGATAAGAGGACTTACCACATGGCACCACTGGAAGCATGAAATGAAGTGATGCCTGGAAAGGCACAGACCAGCGCCTGGCATCTCGTGAGAACTCTCGGGCCATCCCACGCACGTCCCTTTGTTTAACTATTACCCTGTTGGGGGACATTAAGTGGGGGTCAATTGTTAATTCTTACAAACCATATTCTCCCACCTCTTTGCCCACTTGTGCAGGAGAGAGTAACAAAGTAACTTTGCATAGTTACTTTGCAAAGTAACTTGGAGCTCCGAAAAATTTGTGGTTCTCGCTGCAGGGCTCAGGCGTCTGGCAGGGGAGCCCAGGGCACTGTTACTTCTGTTCTCCCGTAAATGGGGTCTATTCTGTCGAACAGGGAAGACTGGAACTTTAATTCTCTCTTCACTGTTTTGTTTATTGGGTTTTGGAAAAACATTTCATCTTGGGAAGTAAAAGAAAGTTTATTACTAAAAATGACTGAGAATCACTAGTGGTTTGGCCCAGAGAGAAAAGTCAGAGTTATAAAATGTTCGGAAATAATTTTAGGAACCGTGTCAGTTGTGTTCTCTGGCCATGTTTCCGTGTGTGCGGAAGCTGCCTTTTACCAGCAGTGGGCATCCCTTCCAAAGTCTGTGATCAGTGGCTTTCACATTGGTAGCTTGAAATCGGCCACAGTGTGGGGTATTCATGGTGGCAGTTGGCAAACATTCCACATCAGAGCTTCTTAATCCTCTGCTGAGCCGGTTATTAAACTTTTAGCAGCACACCGCTGCGTGCTCTCAAACATTTTAATAGGCATTTCTTGCTCATTTGTCTGCAGGGCTCCTTGGGTTTGGCTCCCCGACCCCTGGCTGGGCTGGGCTCCAAGCTGGCAGGGGGGCATCCGGATCTGTTCAGCGCGTCTCTTATCCTTCCCTGCCCTTGGGCCAATGCTGGTCCCAAAGGAGGAGTGCTATGAATATTTACTGAAGGATGGAAAAAGCATACAACACTTTACCTTCATTACTTTCTATCAGAGAGCTGCTTTAGTTACAAGACTTTGCTGACACCAGCTTTGGCCTGAAGATACATGGCCAACTTGAGCAAACATTGGAAACCTATTTAGGATTTAAGCGATGTCATCTCTTTGCAGGTCACGATGGGCAGCACCCTCTTATTTGGTGGCAGAGACAGTGTTCAACATAGATGTTTCACGGCCAGCAGCCCCTTTACCCTTCCTAAAGTTTCGCAGATGTAACCTAAAGACCCCCGCTCTTCCATACCTTGCATCTCCGTGACGGGGACCAGGGGAGTCCCCAGTTAGAGGAGGGCTGCCTCTGTGGCACTTAGTGGATCCCAAGTCTCATCTACGTTAACAGTCGTACAGCCATGTCAATTCCCTGTTTTCCCTCAGGGAGGGTCTGTCTAGGGGTGTCCAACCTTCTGGCATCTCTGGGCCACACTGGAAGCAGAAGAGTTGTCTTGGGTCACACATTAAACACATGGCAACATGTAATCACAAAAAAATCTCATAGCGTTTTAAGTAGATTTACGATTTTGTGTTGGGCCGCATTCACAGCCACCCTGGGCTGCATGAGGCCCGCAGGCCCCTGGCGCGCAGTCGGTTTGTGAGGGCTGCACTATTTAAGCGCTGCTTCCCGTCAGACACGATCGTGGTCTGTGCAACTCGGAGTGACTAGGGGCAGAACAGACCATGGAAGACCAGGCACTCCTAGTAAAGATCTGGATTAAGGCAGAAGGAGGCTGAACAAAGGACACCAGACAGAAGTCCAGGCCAGTTAGCCGGCTCTGAGCCTGCTGCCCTCCATTGAAGCTCCTGCCGCGCCCTTCAGGCTGCTCTTCCCGCGCCCCGCGCCCCTGGCTGTACGGCCCTGGCCGGGGTCTCTGCGGGGGAGAGTGTCTCTGCTGCGCCGCTGGGCGGGAGCGGGAGCGCCAGCGTTGGCATCTAATCTCAGCCAGCCGGCTTCTGTTACGCTGCTCCTCCTGTTCTTAGGGATGAGGTCGCTGAGGCTGCGGAGGAGGGGCACCAGGGGCACCTCAAGGAATGAGTAGGGAGAGCTGGGTTATTTGGTCACAAATGTGTCTTTCTCCTTCCATAATGTTAAGAACTTTAACACAAAATTAATTACCAATGTAAACATGGGGAGATGTTGCATGAAAACCTGCATTTTCATCCTCTCTTGAAAAATCGAAGCTCTCTCCACAAATGCTGCCATGCCTTCCAGACCGCCAGGGTCCCACCTCTTCCTACCGCCCCCCGCCCCCCCAGTGCCAGGGTGAGAGTCAGCTGCCTTGTTTACATTCCCCGCCTGGCCTCGGCAGGCCTCCCCCCCCCCTGGGTCCCGTCTGCACCCCAGGATCGGGTGGGATGACTGCCAGGGCCCTGTTCTGCCACTGCGCGCTCCACTCCTGGGACTCCGTGAGCGCTGGGTCTTTCTCGGGGCGGGAGACTCCGGCCCACAGTGAGCTCTGCTGGTCACCTCCAGCATGTGGAAGGCAGCGCCTCTTAACTGTGCCGCCCTCCAAGTTCCAACTCTGTGCCCCTCCCCCGCTTGCTCTCAAATCAAGGTATCAATTATTTTTAAAATAGTTGTACATAAAGGATTTCCTTCGGTAACATGTCCACTTTCATAGGGAAGGCAAGACACATGAATCTAAGGTGGAATTTCAGGTCTGGGGTGGCCTGCCATTGGCAGAAGGGTTGGGGGGTCCCCTCAAGGGTCTACAAAAAACAGAGAAACCCCCACCATCTGGGCAGCAGCCCAGACCAACAGGAACCTTGAGAAAAATGGGCAAGGGGGCCATTCTGCTAAATTTTCTTGTTGCTGGAATACTTTCACCTCCTTCTTGGGCAAGACCTCAAAGTATCTGCTGTATCATCCAGGAAAGTGTGATGCATCAGGAAGAGGTTCCAAACCGCTCTGCGTTCTGCCTCACCGGGTCTGGCCGGGAACCACGGGCCATGCGCTTGCTGGGACTACATGGTGACAGTGGCCGCAGATCAAAACCAAATCAATGCAGCACAGAAAAATCAGTGCCTGGGAATTGTCCGTAAGGGGCATGGAGCCGGGTCCCCTCACGGGTGGGCGGGGTAAGCGGCTGACTGCCTGGCAGCCCCCAGGCTCCACGCTGGGCTGGCTCCTCTGGGATCTCTGCTACCTGCCCCTGAGGCTCAGAGAGGCAGGGGCATCATCAGGGTCTCCTTCTCTGCCTTCTCTCTGTCCACAGTGCACCCTCTTTGGAAGGGCGCAGTCTCCACCCCAGGGGGCTCCCGGCAGTCCCCCATCAACATCCGCTGGAGGGACAGTGTCTACGACCCCGGGCTGCAGCCTCTCCGGGTCTCCTACGACGCTGCGGCCTGCCTCCACATCTGGAACACCGGCTACCTCTTCCAGGTGGAATGTGATGACACCAGCGATGGGTCAGGTGAGACCGAATTGGGATTTGAGGTCTCTATCTCCTTCTGTCACATCTTAAGAGTCGGGTCATGGGCTTAGCATGGAAGGGGATGAGAGCTTTACTTAAGTACGGTGTTTGGGGACAAGGAACAGCATTGCGGAGGCAGGAACAGGAAGAATTCATGAAGGCTCTCTGTGGGGGCAGGGGAGTGATACTTATTCTGAAGATTATAATGCCAATCATCCACATTCACATGGTTTCAGTGGGGACAAAACTATGAACAAAGTTAATTCCCTCCGTTCGTGGTTTATATCCCAGGGACTGGGGAGGAAGAAACACTAAGCTAATAAAAACACGAGTATAGTGCACATCTGAGGAGAAAAACAGCGCAGGGCAGAGGAGAGAGGTGTGGTGGTGGTGAGGCCGACGGGAGAAGAGGGGGGAAACGGTGCTCACAATGGGCGAGGTGTCCCAAGCCCGGTCACCCCGCCTGTTCTTACAGAGCGAGGATGTTTTAAGTTTTTGTTTTGAAATATGTATTTATTTTTAGAGAGAAGGGAAGGGAGGGAGAGAAACATCCATGGGAGAGAGAAGCATCTTCGATCAGTTGCCTCTTGCATGCACCCCAAATGGGGACCGAAACCTGCAACTTAGGCATGTGCCCTGACTGGGGATCCAACCAGTGACCCTTCACTTTGCTGGATGACACCCAACTAACGGAACCGCTCCAGTCAGGGCGACCTGGCAATGTTTTAAATGAACGCCCGGCTGCTATGAGGAAGAGGAGGGGCGGAGGACAGGGGTGTAACAGGGACCACCTGGAGGCCGTCTGGGGTGATGGTGGTGGAGGGCTGTGTGACAGGACGACAGGCAGGCAGAAGAGAAGCCCCAGGAACCGCTGTCCCTGTACCGGGTCCCAGTGCTCTGCATGGGCTTTATATGAACGAGCTCACCCAACCCTCCCCAGGATGCTCAGGAGTTTGGGATGGCTGCTCCTCTGATACTTGTCCGGATTGGCTGCTCCGGCCCGGCTGGTGTTTCTCAGCCCCTTTTGGTGTCATCGCAAGCCTTGTTTATGTCAAACATCTGTTTTCTTTCGGGTGTGGAGAATGTTCGTGCATGCCAGGCAGAGGGTGCCCACGTGGCCGGCCCCCGGTACACCACGTCTCTTATAGGCATCGCTGGTGGGCAGCACTTTGTGTGTGTTGTCACAGCTCATTGCTGGGGGGGCAGTGTGTCCCTGAGGCTCCATCCGAGAGGGCACTGGAAGCCGGCGCCTGGTCTCCTCCAGATACTGCCATGTGCGCCTTTTCCCTTTGCTGATTTTCTTTGGATCCTTTCACTGTAATAAATCTGACCCGTGCATCTGACTATGTGCTGAGTCCTGGGAGTCCTAGAGAACCATGGAACCTGGGGGCCCCGGACGCAGCCCCCCAGCCCCTGTAGTTTCTGGGCCAGCCCCTGGCCCACCTCCTTCCATGTGCTAGTTACAGTATATCAGTCACTCACTCACCTGTTGCCCAGGCAGGGAAGTGAACTCTGTGAGGGCACCCTGAACCGTGTGTGCTAGCCTTCTTGGAGCCCTGGGGGAGGGGCTGGGGGCTGAGCGAGGCCCAGCCTCTCCTGTCTCCCCTCCAATGGGTGGTGGGTGGCTGCCACAGGGGAGAGAGAGCCCTTTTCCCTGGTGCAGGCCCAGCAAAGTGCTTCACGCACAACCTGGCTCAGCCTTTCCAGGTCGCTCTCCTCATCTCACAAGTGAGAAGGAGCTTGTGTTTCCTGAGCAGCCACCTACATGCCTGGGGCTGCTCATGGTTCTTGGTCAGTCTTCACAGGAACCCTCAGGGGCACTTCTCAGGTGGGACTCCTTGAATGCAAGGGACAAGAACCCCAACTCTGGCCAACATAAGCAAAAAGGATTTTCTTAGAAGGCTGAGCCAAGCTCAAAGAGGAGGGGAAGCTGGACACCCAGATCTTGGAAAGCACAGGAATCAGGCCAGCTCGGGGCCCTGGGGAGTGGGGGTTAGGAATCTATTTACTTAGCAAACCAGCTTTTTTTCCTGCCCATGTTGGTCTGTTCCAAGTTCAAATTCCCAAGGAGCAACTGAAATTGGCTTTTCGGGTTTAATAGGGTTTGTATTATATTTACACATTTTATGCAGCAACTTTAGAAGATTAAATAAAGAATAATCGTTCCTGAACTTTTGCTTGGTTAATAGTTGTGTGACTAGTCTAAGATTGAGAAAAACAGATATGGGTGTAGATGAGTTCATAATCCTCCTATATAACTTTTATGTGTAGCTATGGGTCTAACAGATTTATATTTTTTTAAGTTTTAAAACAGGAAAAACTTGGAAGTTTACTTTGGACTTTTTTGTGCATATCATTAAGATACATTTGACAAAATAATTCAGATTCCCAGGGGAAAAGGTCTGGTGGCTGAACTTAGCCCTGACACAGCCCTTGGTCAGCAGGGGACCGAGCACCCTGACCCATGTCCCCACCAAGACCACATGCTCAGGGAAGTGGTGGTCCTGGGGGAAATTGAGGTGCTATTTCTAGAAGAGGGTAGGTGTGCTGGACAGACAAACACACACCCTCTTTAAAAAGCACCACCAACGATGAATAACAACACCCACAAAACAGACACCACTGTGGAGAGTATTGGGGGGCCCTCGTTCTATGCAAGGAGAAATGGAGGCTCAGCAGGGAAGGGGCTCATTCAAGATCACGTGGCAGGGAAGTGGAGGGGTCAGGTTCAAGCCCGAGTCCTGCTGATTCTAAAGCCCCCCAAAGTCATTTACTGGCCCCTTATCCTTGTCAAGGGCTTCACTCACACAAACTGAAGTATTCTTTGTAGTAACTGTGTGAAATGCATTTTATTCCCCATTTTACAGATGATAGAAATGATGCTCAGAGAGATTCAGGGCTGGAGCCCACAGGGCCCTCCCAAGGAGATTCTCTGCTCTCCAATGAAGGAAACTTTAGGAGCATGAATCCTCTATGGAAGGAATCTGCATCCAATATCCACAGGGTTCAGGCATGAGTCACCGTAAGGGAGGAAAGTGCTAGCGCACTGAGTGAACACAGTCAAGTTCATGTTAGGTCCTGAGGGGAGCCAGCAGCCTGCTCAGGGGCAGGTGGGCCCCTGGCTCAAGTCCAGCCAAGCCAAGTCCAGTGTGCTCACCCCACAGGAGGGCCAGCGGGCAGTGAGGTCAGCCTGGGCGCCTCAGTGAGAACCTACCAGGAGGAAGACACTCACACTGAGACACGACAGGTGGAGGAGGGGCATCTCTGTGATGCTCCAAGGGCCCAATTGTTTGTGTTTTTATATTATATTATTTTTGGGGGGGTGTCTTATAGCATATGTGCCTTAGAATCTAGTTGTTCCTATGTCCTGCAGGAGCTCAGGGTGAGTTTAGCCTAGGAAACTAGACTATTAGGGGTGACAATTCCCTGAATCACAAGTCAAGGCCTCCTTTTGGTCAAGAATTTAAACCTCTTGAGTTTTTACCTGAAGCTTGAATCATAGGAGTGGGTGTGGCCAGTCCCAGCAACACTTTCTCTGGCTTCAGTGATTGGTCTAGGGGTATGCATGTGACTCCAGCGAGGCCAGTGAGAGACAAGATTTTTTTTTTTGGAAATGTTAAAAGAAAACCGCTCTTTCTGCCTGCCTTGTGCTGGGATCAGCTGCAAGGCTGGGCCTGCAGGTCCTCATGACAGAGCAAAGAGGTGGATAAAAATTGAGGCCCGAGGCCATTGTCAGAGCCTCTAACTGAAGCTGTGCAAAACCAGCTCCTGGACTAATCAACCTCTTTTTTGCCTCAATCAATTTGATTCAAATTTCAGTCACTTGTGTTCAAGAGTTCTAATACAAGTAGACAAATAAAAAGTGACTACATTAACAGAGAAGAAATAGAAGGGAGGCAGCTGGAGAATTGCCAGTTTCAGACCTTTTAATCTTTGCTCAAATGTAATTCAGCTGGGAAAAAAAAGTAATTCAACTGTAGGCTGGGTTTGTGCCACCCAGGGTGGAAGGAAATGTTGGTAATGATACATTTAACTTGACCCAGAGAGGTTGGTGGTCTGAGTGTGGTGCTTTAAGCCTCTCAGACCTTTCTGAGAAGCCAGGCCCACGTAAACTTGGCTCTTCTGAGTACATGGAGACCTGATGATAAATGTTCAGCAACTGGCTTTCTGTGGTGTGGGAAATGGAGTGTGGGGTGGAGGTTGCGGGGGACAAGGAGCCGTGATTTGTAGTGTTTGCCACTTCCCATGGTGTAAATACTCCAGCACAGCTGGCTGATTTAAACCTCCTGGTGCAAAGTCACTGATCATGAATTAGGAAGAGATGCACACAATCAGTTTCCAGGAGCCAGTGAGCCTGCCCCACACTCACTGGCCTGTTCTTTCTTCCCTCCAGTCCCTGCTGCCTCAGATCTTATTTTTGCTCTCATTTTTGCAAGACATTTACTATATAGGTTAAGACTTCCTTTGTGTTGCATGTGGCAGAAACTCATCTCAAACTGGCTTAAGCAAAGAAGAGGAAAACTTATTGGCCTAGATTCCCAAAAAGTTCAGGATGTGGCTGGGTCTGAATCCTCCCCGTCTCAGCTCTGCCTTCCCCTGGTGGATTCATTCCAGGTGAGGACCCTAGAATGGTCCTTGACCGGCAGTTTGGTAGACCCTCCCAACAGAGTGGCCTAAAGGTATAGCACCTCTGTCCCAGCAACAGCCACCTCAGCTTTAGGGCTGGTTCCCATTGCCCAGTTTCGGTCACTTACCTTGGGTGAGCCAGTTGCAGTGACTCTGAGGGTGAGCTGCCCTGGAGCGGGGTGAGGCCAGAGTGGAGGACCCAGCGGGGCTGTTCCCAGCAGTAAGGTCAGGCTGGAGAGGCACAGTCAGGGCAGTCTCCATTGGGCCTGACATCCTTGCTGGTGACCCCGGGCTGACCTCGGCCCACCCCTGATTCGCGTTGCTCTCAGAGTCCAAGGTCTTTGCACCCGTTGTCGCAGCCAGGCCTCTATGTT